GAAAACATTCATTTAAATGCATACATTTATATATACATATTTAATAGATAGATAGATAGATCTGCGCAAATTTTAACATTTCACTATGGTACAAAAGCAATTTTTTCTTGTTTACAAACCATAAAAGTGACATTTTTCATTTTGCATCATTTTCCCCACTGATTTTCTCACGTTGTGTCTCCCCTTTCCTGCTCCTCGTTGTGTCTCCACACTTCCGGCTGAAACCTCGGCTCGCTGGCGTTTGTCGAGTCGGGGTTCGCGTTGGTGGAAAGGCGGAAAGACTGGTTTGTTGCCCGATGTCGCGCTGCGTGTTTTTGCACACGCGTCGTCTGCGGAGAAGCATTTCATAGAGATGACGGAGAGGTCATTTCATAGAGGGTTCCCACTTGCTGTCTGGATGTTGGCTGACGGAGGACCATTTTATAACCAATTTTCTCTATAAATGCTTCGTAAAGCATCCTAGGGAACAAGTAAGGGGTATTAATAAACCATTTAGTATACCTGTAGTATACCTGTAATATTCCAGTCTGGCCATGAATCTATACAATATATATATATATATTTTTAAATACATACATATATATATACATATATATATATATGTGTGTGTAGTATATCTTTAAAATACCTTGTGTTTTCATTAAAAATGTCGCTTACTACACTTTTAATATTCCTTGATGGTATATACCGTATTAATTATATACCTTTAATATACCATTTAATTGACCTTGAACATACCACTATACCTCTAACATACCTTTTACTTAGTCAAGGCCTGGATTCAAGAAGTTTCCCCAGCAAAATTTGCAAACGTTTGCAAATTTTGGGATTCAAGATTCAAGATTTTGGGGAAAAGTTCTTGAATCCAAGCCCTTAGATCTTGGGGTTCTGGATGCCAGTCAGGGCTTGGATTCAAGAACTTTCCTCAGAATCTTGAATCTTGAATCTTGAACCCAGGAAAATTTGCAAACGTTTGTCTTTTTTTGGGATTCAAGGTTCAAGATTCAAGATAATTTCTGGGGGTTCAATGTGTGTGTGTGCACGTGAGTGTTTACATGGTTATTGGAATTCTATTGTATATATATATATATATGGCACCCCCCATAAGACAACCAAAACATGGCCCAAAATTGCAACCAAAAATATAAGCTCAAAATGTGCATAACTTACTGCAAACCAAAACATGACCCAAAACTGCAACCAAAAATATAAGCTCAAATGTGCATAATTTACTGCAAATACCAGTAAAACCGCAAACAGGTAGGTCTTGGGGGGATACCATATATATATATATTATATGTATATAATATATATATATTTGCATTTTTTTTAAATATTTATATGTGTACATACATGTATACATATATAATATATATATAATATATATATATATATATGTACATATATATATATATGCTCTATAAGTGGTATCTAAGTCCATCCAATGCTATGGGTGTCATTTACCGCATCATTTCAGTTAAAGTGGTGGTTTACTCCAATGATACTGAAAAATAAATTCCAAAATCGGAGATGGTGACTGTACTCATTGGATGATATTGGGCGGATCTCACTATACTGTAATCATAGTGGCTTCCCAAATCCAATGCGTGTTTTTTTTTATTATTTCGACAAAACAGACCTATGTAGCCTTTTTGTGATCATACCCAAATATCATA